AAAAGTTTAGATGAATCTAAGGTGTCGGATGGATCGGATAGTATGTGGAGTTCTGACGAAGAAGAAATATTCGACGCATCAACTTTGAAGTCTAACAGTCCTATTGTGGCCATTGGGTAGGCTAATATTCATGCTACATGTATTTGGAATAAAGAGCGTGTAAGCGTCGAGTTCAAACCTGGGGCTAAGTAAAGGGAGCGCAATGACGTGCTCTACGTCAAGGGTCTAGAATTTTTACTTGGCTAAGTGGGTAAGACGCTGGTTCGCTAGCCTGGAGGTCGGGTGTTCGATCCCTGCATTGGCCGAGAAAGTTCATCCAGATTTTCCGGCGTGGTTTCCCCTTGTTAGTGATGCAGGACGGAGGGCCTGACAAGGACAGCTGTCTAGTCGTTCGGATGGGACGAAAAACCGAGGTCCCGTGTACACATTGGCGTGCACGTAAAAGATCCCTTGGCAGTTGGAATTCGATATAAGAGTAGACCGTAGTGCCGCTGCCCGGGCAAAATTTCCCTCATAGCACACTGTATGGCGTATGCCCGTCTTCATTAGCCCAGGTTAGGAGCAGAACAGTAGGACGTTAAACCCCATTTCATTCATAGAATCTTTACGCCCCTTGTGTTTTTGTGCCCCCTCTCAAATGGAAGAAATCACTGCCAACGCAGTTTCCATTTTACAATGCTATTTGCAGATTCTAATCTTATTTACTTCGTCAAAAATGATAATGATCAACCAGTGTCAAACATATAATACCTATAGCCTACCAAAGGCTGGCTCAGATATGCTACAAACGCGTATTATTCTCAGGACAAATACGTAAAATATGATAGGTAAAAATAACACTAATGACAACTAAGAGTCTTGTGTGTTAATAATATGTTCGGGGAAGGAGAGGAGGGGGGGGGGTATTTATTTTGAGGCCCCTTTTTGTGGATCTTGGTTTAACTGTACGATTTTCACCGTGCTAAATCAGGCTCGGGGGAAGAAAATGGTGAATGGTAAACCCCGGGCTGATGTGCATTCATTGTAACTTTATCGTGTTCTCTTTGTTTTTAGAGTTACCAGCTTGACGTCAACTCCAAAGAAGAAGAATAGAAGTAATGTATCTAATTCCAACAATTACACATATTGAAGAATGCAGCATAATTAAAAGTTTCAAGAAATCATTATAATATTCTTTTTTTTAAAAAAAAAAAAGGATTATATTAGTATAATACTTAATACTTTTATTTAAATAAAGCGTTATAATTATTCGTGTTTTATTTAATAAAGCATTATATGGAGAGAGATAAATCACCATAACTCCATTGTGTAGTTTATCGGGATTTTCAATTTCGGTTAAAATTCACCATTGTAAATTGTTCATAGTAAAATGTTGATTTCAACCAAAATCCCATTCAAAACAAAATGCGTTGAATTTAGGGTGATGCTCGATTGTATGCTTACAATCCCTCAAATGGTGTCAAAGAATTTCGAGCGACAATGGGGTCTCGCTTTTCCGTCCGGGTTTCGAATCCCCGGTTGTACGTGACAAGGAGTAGGGTCGCCTGTCCAACCTCGTGGGTTTTCTCCGGGTCCTCCGGTTTCCTCCCACTGCTAAAGACCCCTATGCGCAAGCGAATTATTGAAATAAAATTAAACCATATGTTAGTCCCGAAATGACCTAGTTTGTGTCGAGTGGACGTTAAATCCCATTTCTCTCTCTCTCTCTCTCTCTCTCTCTCTTTTCTCTCTCTCTTCTCTCTCTCTTTTCCGTCCGATCCGAACGACAAGACTGTTCTTTGTCAGGCCGGAGAACGTGATCGGCCAATACAGGGACCGAACCCGGGACCTTCTAGTTAGCTAACAAGCACCTAACTTGCTGAGCCATCGAGCCTCCCCTCCTGGAGATTTGGATAAAGGGTTGGTCGTTCTTGCTATACTTTAAAAATAGATAATGCAAAATGAATATATTGAAAATTACTTTATTCTGAACGAAGCTATATAGCAATGTTTGTAGTTTTGACAAGATGTGTGCATTGATTCTTTATTATTGTAACCACCGTACTGGTTGTTCGAGACTTAACCTCACTTCTCCATTTTTATACGTCCACATTCATAATGTGAACGTATTATGCCGTCGCCCCTGTCTGTGTGTGTGTGTGTGTGTATGTATGTATGTGTGTGTGTGTGTGTGTGTGTGTGTGTGTGTGTGTCTGTGGTTCGCCTACAGGGCGCAATTCTTCATGGATTTTCTTCAAACTTGGTATACTTATTCCTTATACCCCAAGGAAGATCCCTATTGTTTTTGGTGCATGCCCGACCCCCCGGGGCAGAGCCACGCCCATTTCTAGTATTTGTTTGTTTGTCGTCTACAGGCCACATTTCTTAACTAATAATCTTGAAACTTTGCATACACATTCTTTGTACCCTAAGGAACATCCCTATCGTTTGGGGTGCATGCCCAACCCCCAGGGGCAGAGCCACGCCCATTTTCTTTTCGTGTGTCTTTGTGTTGCCTACAGGGCGCAATTCTTACTGGATTTTCTTCAAACTTGGTATACTTATTCCTTATACCCCAAGGAAGATCCCTATTGTTTTTGGTGCATGCCCGACCCCCAGGGGCAGAGCCACGCCCATTTCTAGTATTTGTTTGTTTGTCGTCTACAGGCCACATTTCTTAACTTATAATCTTGCATACACATTCTTTGTACCCTAAGGAACATCCCTATCGTTTGGGGTACATGCCCAACCCCCAGGGGCAGAGCCACGCCCATTTCCCATTTTCTTTTCGTGTGTCTTTGTGTCGCCTACAGGGCGCAATTCTTACTGGATTTTCTTCAAACTTGGTATACTTATTCCTTATACCCCAAGGAAGATCCCTATTGTTTTTGGTGCATGCCCGACCCCCAGGGGCAGAGCCACGCCCATTTCTAGTATTTGTTTGTTTGTCGTCTACAGGCCACATTTCTTAACTTATAATCTTGCATACACATTCTTTGTACCCTAAGGAACATCCCTATCGTTTGGGGTACATGCCCAACCCCCAGGGGCAGAGCCACACTTTATATACTTATTCTTTGTACCCTAAGGAACATTCCTATCATTTGGAACATCCTTATCATTTGGAGTAGGCCCTACATGCCCAACCCCCAGGGGCAGAGCCATGCCAATTTTCTTTTTGTGTGTCGCCTACAGGCCACAATTCTAAATCGATCATCTTGAAACTTAAAATACATATTCCTTATACCCTGAGGTTGGTCCCTTTTCTTTTGGGTGCATGCCCGATTTTGGGGAGATAACTCCATTTAACAATGTCAAACTCCATTTAACAATGTCAAACTGACGTGATATGCTTTAAATAGTTGTCACCCATGTAACATTCGGGTTTTTGTGAGTGGTTTCTGAGAGCCTTTGTTCAACTTATTTTTCAGAACGCTTTGTAAGTGTTAGAAGTATTTATACCGGTTATTTGTTGACGTTTCAAACCACCGTTTTCTCCCCCTTTCCTCCCACTGCTAAAGACCTTTTGGTACTGCAATGACAATGTCTCTCTCTCTCTCTCTCTCTCTCTCTCACACTAAATAAATTATAAATTCATGTAACTGCAAGTACATGTGCGTTTTCAGGATGTACATTTTTAAAAAGTCTTATGTTTGGGTGTCATTCGTTATTATAATTTAGTACCAAATTTATTATTAATAATTTGTCTTTTAAGAATATTAAGTACTTTTGTCAGATTGGGATTTAATTTCAGACTTCGGTTTCACTTGGTTCGGAGGAGATAACTCCGTCTAACAATGTCAAACTGGCGTGATATGCTTTAAAGAGTTGTCTCCCATGTAAAATTCGGCGTGATATGCTTTAAAGAGTTGTCTCCCATGTAAAATTCGGGTTTTTGTGAGTGTTAAAGTACCTTGTCAATCAAAGCAGAATTGGAATGTGGACGTATATTGTAGCGTTAGCGTTATGTTTAAATTAAATCATCAAATGGCCGAACCGTCCTAATCCGGTGGACTAGAAGGTTGATTATGGTCTTGTCATGTTAATAAATGTCTAAGTAATTGTTTATAATAGCATTTAAGGCGTAAAGAAAGACCCGCAATAGTAAGGCAGATTTAGCTCTTGAATAATGCCTCTTTAATCGTCTCCTTCGTCTTAAAGATGAAATGGGGTTTAACGGCCATTCGAGGTCATTTCGGGACTAACACTTGGAGAACGGTGAAAACCCACGAGGTTGGATAGGAAAATGAAATGAAATGGGGTTTAACGTCCTACTGTTCTGCTTCTATGCTGGGCTAATGAAGACGGGCATACGCCATACAGTGTGCTATGAGGGAAATTTTGCCCGGGCAGCGGTACTATCGCCTACTCTTATATCGAATTCCAACTGCCAAGGGATCTTTTACGTGCATTCCAATGTATACACGGGACCTCGGTTTTTCGTCTCATTCGAAGGACTAGACAGCTGTCCTTGTCAGGCCAGGTTGGATAGGCAACCCTATCTCCTGGTTGGATAGGCAACCCTATCTCCTTGTTACGTACAACCCGGGAATCGAAACCACGCCCATTGACTCAATGACAGACTTTATGATACAGCGCGCACGCGCTAACCATTCGGCTGTCAACCCCCACCCCTTCTGTTAACATGTTTAAAAGACAAAAAGAGTAATGTTCTTATTTATTTTTAAAATACTTAAAATCTTTTCTTTTAAAGATTTATTATTAACATCCGTATTAACAAATAGTTTCTTCCGGCGGCACTTATTAATACAGGTGACTTACTATTTAATTCTTAAACCTTTAACGACATTGCCAACTATGATTTTTTTATTATTACTGTACAAACAATCTTTTAAACACACTCTTGATCAAGGTCTATACACGATCCATGCACGTGCATTAACCTCGATTTTAGATTGGTCGGCATTTTTAAAAGCGTTCAAGTCACGTGTGTTAGTGCTTACACCAACGTATTCAGTTAATTGAGGTTTTAAAAAGTTATCATTTCGTGGTCACGAGCGGCCATGACAACAATAAACTTGTGCTGGGACAGGAAAAAATCCTGGTGATCGTTAATTTGAATATTAGTCAGAAGTGGTAAATACTGTTATATAGATATAGTTGTATATAAAAAGATGTCAAATAAAGAACTAATGTTAGCCGATGTTGACGACGATGAAGAAGATGATGACAAAGAAGTCGATGATGACACTAAGGACATACACTTACCCTGTTTATTGGATACAGTTGGTCAAGAGAGTGAAGAGTCGTCGAGTCTCTGTACTGATGGTATATTTCTAGATGATACCTATTATAATGCTAATACAAGTCACTCTCTTAGTCCCGATACTTGGGTAAGTGAGACTGTGAGTTTGAACTTAAGGTGCGTTTAGCTATCAATAACGGGTGTTGTGCACGGTATACCGTGTGCTTAAACTTGTCTGGAGTATAAATGATGCTGCTTTATTTGTTTGGAAAGTGTCATAGCTAATATTTTTTACTGTCCAGGCTAGCGCGTGCTGTGCTGACAAATAAGATTGTGTTCTCTAGAGAGGTGTTCAAGTTAGCGTGCACGCAAAACATCCATTGAAAAGTTGGCACTGAATACGTGATATTATAAAAACAAATAAGCGTATGTTGGTCTCAAAAGACATTTTACTTTGTTAAAGTATTTAAGTCTCTTATCTAATATCATCCAAAGTCTTCGACATTGAAAACCTGAATTATTTGTCAATTTAAATCGACATGATGTTGTGATCTTACCGGGAAAAGATGGGCTTCTGATATCCAATATTTAAGACAAAATAAACATTTTACCATTGGTAAGAGGCTATTAAAACTGGAAATGATTGAATGTAAATCAGTTTATAGATACTTTCATATTACATTATTATATGCGCTGCGACCCATTCGTGGCAATTTCTAGGTCCCAAATATTAGCGATTAGCTCCGTTAAACTCCATTCCCTTCTCTCTGTCAATTGTACACCATTTGATATAAGCTGAATTATATACTGCTTTTGGAACGATTTTAGAAGCTTTCCACTGTTTTGTTTTCTAATAACTAAAGGTAACCCTAAACATAATCCTTGCATCAATTGCAACACAGATAATGCAAGCGGTGGACTGATTCTGGTATTTAGTTCTACAGTGATTTATTGAAGCTAAAAAAAGAAACTGAAAACATTTTTTTTTCATTACCTTTGCAATGCCGAATAAACAATGTCATAGTATTTTGACATAACGTTTGTAGTAACACATATCACCTTTACATTGTAAAAGGACTAAAAACCGAGTTCCCATGTTCACGTTGCCGTGAACGTAAAAGAACCCTTGACGGTTCGAATTCGACGAACAGTAGGTGGAAACGCCGCTGTCAGGGCAAGATTTCTCAAATGCCCATCTTCATTATCCCGATTGGTGCAGAAAAGAAGGACGTTAAACCGCATTTCATTTCCTGTAGCGTATAATGTTTCAAAAGATATAATATTTGAAATTCACGCAAACAATAGCCAGTCATTAAATCCATTTCCAGCATAATGAAAGGTCGCATCATACAAATTACGGTTTCCGGCCATTTTAATGTTTATTTTGTTCGTATATACTGGATTTTATTCCTGCATCATCTCCGTTAATTTATCGGCTTATCACATACATCCCACGGTAACAATTTTTTGTTAGAATTATTGTCGGATTGGGAATGATAATCGCCAAGTATTTACATGACATCATCTATCTTGCTTTGTCGCCAAATGACAGTAAACGGTGGGATTATTGCAGAACGAATGAACACGCCTTGCAGGGGCAGATCCAGAAATTTTTGCAGGAGGGGGTTTGCCAGGTTCCTGTTAAGGAAATTTGACAATGCATGATGCCATCATCGTCCCTAATTACGTAGGCATACATACACACTGAGCTTTTTAAAGAGAGAAATCCAATATCCCGTTTGGCGTCAATTTTTATCGTGAATTAACAGCATTTCATTGATGCAAAGTACATAATTAATTGTGATATCACATGTGTCTATATCATTATCTCGCGCTTTGAATTCCCATCTCATCCCACCATCTGATGATAAAGAATAGACCGTGACACTTTTGTCACAAAAAGTGTTGTCTTACACCTTTTTTTATGTAGCTGAGCGCCCCCCCCCCCTCCTCCCACCGGATCCACCCCAGCCTAAGCTTAATAACACGTAGTTATTTCCCATCTTTCCGCGAAAAACATCAATTCCTGTTCAATATTTCATTAGTTAACTAAGATTGTTGGGAATTGAACACCGGTAACTGTGATTGGCATAGGACTCGCTTGCGTGTCTCGAAAATTCCATTCACCTGCTAAGCAAGATGATCACGTGCTTGATGCCCTACGTTCCAAGTAACGGTGCCAAATCTGGGTTTACTCAGGTGAGCTGTGGCCATTTGTAATTTTGGTTATTAAATTGATTGTATAAAGACAATTATATACAGGTTTCTTACTTGAATGTTGTGCCGTGTATCCGGAAATTAAACCCACTGGACATTTTTAATGAAACTTAGACAGGTAAATCATATGAAGCGTTCAAATCTGGTTTGTAAAAAGTTTTAATTTTCGATTTAACGTGGTCTGAATATAAAGAGTTAGATTGAGTATGTTTAGATTTGATTGTAAAATTGAATGTAAATTTGTAAACAAACTAAGCCAACTTCTGGAAATCTTCTAAAACAAAAACAAGTAATAATAGTACAGAGCTTGTCCCATCACCAATCGTCAAAATACCACATCAATCCTCCCCACCAATTTACCACCTCCCCATTTATTATCATGTTCCAAACGAAATTAGAAATTTCTCATCTGAATAATTTTGTGTTCTCACAACTTTGACTATCCCTGTACCTTGTGAAACATGTCTGATGGTATCCAGACAAATTGACGAAAGACCATTAGAGGTCCACTGGACCAATAGAAGTCCACTCGGACCAAGATTAGAAGAAAACTTGGACCAACAAATAAATTTATAACTGTATTTGATTTAATACATTTGTTTTCTTTGAAGACCACTCGGACCAATCTGATTTTGAAATAAAAAACCTGTTGTTTTAATAAATTGATAGTTATGTTTCTTTTAATACATTTGTTTTCTTTAAAATACTAAGGTGTTATGTACTCAGTCCCAGTGGTCTTCTATCTTGGCCCATGTATTAAAACAAACACAACTATCATTATTGAGTAGTATTTTAATTTGGTCCGAGCGGTCTTCTGTCTCGGACTATGTATTAAAGCAAACACAACTATCGTGGTCCGAGTGGTCTTCTAATCTTGGTCCAAGTAGTCTTCTGTCTTGGTCCGAGGGGTCTTTGGTACAAGTTGTCGTGCATTAATCTCCATCTAATGGATTCATTACCTTAATGTTAACATATCTGATCCAATCTTATTTGTTCACAGATCTCCTCCCAGACTTTGCATATAGAAATACACAATTTCCACATCATGTTAGTCTCAGATTGACTGAAACAAAGACACAAAACCCAATTTCATAATATATTTCAGTCTAATGAACCAGTCACTAACATGTCGTTAGTTGTAGCAGATGAAGTGAATGGTATACGTCTACAACAGATTATCTCCCCCTGTCTTCTGGATCATGAAATACACACCTGTGATTATGACCAAGCATATGATATGTGTAGTAAGAAGGCCTATTTAATTATATGGTTGTATTTGGGTAATCCAGCCAGTCAGGAGGTGCTTGGTTTTACTACATCTATCAGGTAAGCCCAAAGAATTATACTATGAAAGGGAGACGACTTTATATTTCAATTTTCATGCCCACTTTCAAAACAATAAATGGTTAGCATTTCAGTATGACTGTGGTTGTTTACAGCATTTATATATATTTACTCAAATTCATAGGTGTCATTTTTTTGTTCTGTTAATTTGTATGGGCACTCTGTTAACATCTCCAGACATGTTAAAGAAAAGTGTGTTTTGGTATAATATGGGTAATAATACGGGTAATACCCTTGTGCTTGATTAGACAGTTAATTAAATTTCTCAGTAAACAAAGCCTTTTAAAAGATATTGCGAAAATGTCTGAATCATGGGTTTTGATTGGTAGGTTGAACTATAAACAACCAATTACCATCTGCAGGAAATATTTAAAGAAATGTCTTCAAACCAATATGAAGTGATATAAACAACTGAAAAAAAAACCCCAACTAATTATTTTTAATTTGTTTTAATTTATTTCTGTTTAATTTCTCATTAAATTACATTATCATAAGGAGTCGATGATATTCAAATTGATATATTTTATTTACTGTGTAATTTAGATATTTTAATTGTTATTTACTGTGTAATTTAGATATATTAATTGTTATAGATATGCTAGTAAGACCAATCATAATACTGTTATATTAGGTGTAACACCTACCAGTCTTGATGGTAAGTTAAGTGCAACAATGATGTATTAAAGTAAGGGTTCCCAAACTTTTCATTTGGTTTAAGCCCTCACATGGGTAAGACGCAGGCTCGCTAGCCTGGCGGTCGGGTGTTCGATCCCTGCTTCGGCCGAGAAAGTTCATCCAGATTTTCCGACGTGGTTCCCCCCATGTCAGTGATTCAGGACGGAGGGCCTGACAAGGACAGCTGTCTAGTCGTTCGGACGGTACGAAAAACCGAGGTCCCGTGTACACATTGGCGTGCACCTAAAAGATCCCTTGGCAGTTGGAATTCGATATAAGAGTAGGCCGTAATGTCGCTGTCCGGGCAAAATTTCCCTCATTTCCCTGGGTGTAAATTTATCCCAGGTTGGGAATCTTGGTATTAAATAGATACTGTTATACGATAAACAATAGTACTGGTTTTCCCCATTTGTTAGTATATCCATATTGGTAACATTAAAAAGTTGCAATTTTCTAATTAATGACAAATGAAATATCTGCAAATAACAATTCGGTACACAAGTTAAGGGATATCCTCCTTTGACCGCTTCTTAGTTAACAAATGAAATAGAACAATTCACTCAAAGGACATTGATCGTGCGTGACAGAGAACTTCATGCAGCAATGTCCCATGATGTGAGAAAGACTGGAGTAAATCATGAGATCAGTGTACTTAGTATATTCAGGAAGTGTCAGATTATTGATGTCTTCAGTGTCTGTTCCCTCTTTCAGTGGATCTTGGTCTACATGGAATAGCTGAAGTTGTAGTAGAACCAATCAAAAAGTCTTTTATAATTTCCAAATATAAAGACTGGACAACCATTAATATTGAAGGTAAGCATAAACTTAATCCCTTTTGTCTTTTTTCATTTAAGAATTTCATCTCTGAAAGAGTTCTTATTGAATATACACTAGGGTGTTTCACTTTTCACTTTTTTGGGAAGTTCTAAGGTTTCTACCCGTCACCGAAATCCACTTGGGGACAAACTTACACCGTAATATTTTCAGAATTTTCTTGCCAAAAATGGCTGCCGACGGCCATTATTTCCAAAATTGCGACTTTTTTCTGGATTTTTGGACGTTTTGAGCCTGACAGATCACTTAGAAAGGTCAGGTATGGCTTGTAATGTATCTATTTTATGCTTTTTAGGTATGCAGAGTCCATTCCCACTATCTTAAATGAGATAGTCAGAATCCAAGATGGTGGAAATCCAAGATGGTGCCCCAAATTCCCTATTTTCGTGACATGGAAAAGCATTTTTCATAAAATTCATTATCAGGGCCAAAATGATGTTCAGAATGACACTGATCCACCTTTGGTTGAAAATGGCGGAAGGTAATGACTGAAGGTGAAGTTCCGATGGAGTATATTCACAACACTATTAATCTGGCAGAACTATGACTGAACCTGGAAATTGTTTACAAAGTTTTTTTATGATTTATTTAAGTAGCCTAAGGTGTCCTCTTTCAGAATGTGCCGGGTGAACCTCGGTAACGCTTGAGCGTTTTGAGAAATTCAAAATGGCATCCAAGACGGCCGGCATTTCTCTAAATACACTAAAATCGTTCATTGTGTTGTGGGGTGATTAGATGATAGTAAAATCCAAAATACCAGATAATATGGCCCTTTAACTCGTTAGCGACGGTTGGGGGCGATTATTTCACCAAACCAAATGATATCTAGAGACAAACTATATTTCTGGACATAGGAGCATATGAGTAATATGATAACACCACATACATGCCTATCAGGAGCTCCAGGGCCACATGACAGACTCTGGAGCATGTTGGCCGGTTGTAATGTTCTCACTGTAGTAACCTTCACCCAGCAAAACAGTTCTGGATCAAGTTCCCTGCAAATGCATCATTCGTTGAGCAAGACTACATGGTTTGGGTGGGGGGGGGATGCTGACCATACATTTCAGTTTTGGATGTCCAATTGTGCATACCCTCCAGCGTGTTTCGGACATCGATTTGCTAGAACTTTGTCCATAACCAGCTGACATGTACAGTGGCCTGTACAAGCACAGATTCTATTAGAGCGTCTGGAGAGAGAATACAATCAAGCTCTCACCACTTTCAAAGCTATTCCTTTCCCCAAGACGTAACAGCAAGTAACTGTGTCACATCCAGTAAGAACGTGAGCTGACAGGATTTCAATGGTACTGGACATGTTTCTCAGAAGTTGAACCAATGTCAACGGTTGTTCTTTCCTCGATTGGTGATTCCATTGTAAGAAGCTTGTTATAGACAGAGCTATTGCAAATCGCTGTCTGAAACACGTTGGAGGGTATAGGCATCCAAAACGGGAAATCTGTCGTCATCATCCCCACCTAAACCATGTAGTCTTGCTCCAAAGAATGATGCATGTGTAGGGAATGTAAAAACATGTCATCACCAAGCTATTGTGTGGCCTTGACTGAAAGATCGTAGTCCGCAGGAACTATATTGCTTGGTTAAGGACACTAAATTGAGAACATTACAACCGGTCAACGTGCTCCGGAGTCTGTTACGTGGTTCATCAGATGTGGATGCAAGAGTGACATGTAGTACGCGTGCTTGTAGCTACACTAGGGATGGCTTAGATTATACAGTATTTTGCAGGTTGCAGCCAGAAACATGACTAGACGATTAAACTGAATATTACCTAGTTATTTTCGTGTTTTACGGGTAGAATTTGTTGGGTTTTTTTAAATATTCAAAAAACAGCTTGTGCCCCCCCCCTTTCCAGGGCCGATCCATGTGGTCCTGGTGTTCCTGATGGGCATGTATGTAGTGTTATTGTATCACTCATTTGCTACTATATCAAGAAATATATAATTTGTCTCTAGATATAGTTTGGTTTGGTGAAATAATCGCCACAACATAATGAACGAGCTCAGTGTATTTAGTGAAATGCCGGCCGTCTTGGATGCCATCTTGAATTTCTCAGAACGCTCAAGGGTTACCGAGGTTCACCCGGCACATTCTGAAAGAGGACACCTTAGGCTACTAAAATCAATCATGAAAAAAAACTTTATAAACAATTTCCAGGTTCAGTCATAGTTCTGCCAGATTAATAGTGTTGTGAATATACTCCATCGGAACTTCACCTTCAGTCATTACCTTGCGCCATTTTCAACCAAAGGTAGATCAGTGTCATTCTGAACATCATTTTGGCCCTGATAATGAATTTTATGAGTGCAAAATTTATTATCAGGGCCAAAATGATGTTCAGAATGACATAGTCTTTGAAAACTGCTTTTCCATGTCACGAAAATAGAAGATTTGGGGCGCCATCTTGGATTTCCACCATCTTGGATTCTGACAATCTTATTTAAGATAGTGGGAATGGACTCTACATACCTGAAAAGCATAAAATAGACACATTACAAGCCATACCTGGCATTTCTAAGTGATCTGTCAAGCTCAAAACGTCCGAAAATCCAGAAAATAGTCGCAATTTTGGAAAAAATGGCCGTCGGCAGCCATTTTCGGCAAGAAAATTCTGAAAATATTACGGTGTAAGTTTGACCCTGAGTGGACTTCGGTGACGGTTAGAAACCTTAGAAATTCCAAAAAAAGTGAAAAGTGAAACACCCTAATATACACAGGCGTAAATCCCCCCTCCCCCCAACAATTTTAGGAATATTATGAATGAAATGACACAAGTAATCATCCATCATGCATTGATCTAAAGAGCGAAATTAAGAATCCTATCAAATTACAATTAATTACTCTTGATTAATGGCTAATCTTGTCAACTCTCAAATGATAAAATCGTTGTGTTATATTTAGTTCAAGAATCACAATAAGACGGCCTTTGTGAACTGCTCGAACAAATTCGCTGCTCTTGGTGTATGTTTAATTTATCGTTTTATTAATTCTCTATATTATGTTACAGAAGAAAAAGAAGTATCATCATCACAGACTATCACAACTACTAATACATCATCTACATCATTATCTACTGATATACTTAATTTAAACACATCATCAACGTAAGACAATATGTGACCTGTGCTGACAAAATGAGTTAGAATGCGCAAAGTCTAATAATGACCTACAGACAAAACAAGTGAAAATATTGATTTTGATCAAAATTGAGATTTTCACAAAAATGCGTCTATAAGTATAAATATACTTAGTAATCTATCGACCCAAAAGATAAAAATAGCAATAAAACATTTTAAAACACCTTTATTTGGATGTTTTGTAAGAGTATCGTATTCTTACTAGTCTTTGAAATGAAATTGAATCATTCTGTTAGAGGTTCAGATTCTTATACCACATTATGGTACCTGAAAATAACAGTAGCCCTATAATTGTACACATAAAACCTTATTTTAATTCATTTGTGTGGCGGCTTCTTTGATATTCAAGAAACTAAACCTCATTACCCAATCAACAATCTTAATCTCCTGAGCACTAACACTAAGGTGCTAATTAATTGATGAGATTAACAGAAGTTATTCCCATAAAAGTTGTAATATACAAAACCTAGGTTACTAATGTATGGTCTATTCTCTTTTGTTCTAAATTATAACAAATATTATGGCGTGGTTGCTATGTGATTTTGTTTTGGATGTGATTTTGTTTTGGAACATACCGACATCTTTAACTTGCTTTTTTTTCAAAACTACCATTTCTGACTTGAGCAACTTCAAACGCATATAGCTCAGTCAAGGTTTGCATGATTCATACCAACTATACATAATTTTGAAGGTATTGAGACTGAGACTGTGAAAATAGCAATAACTCAATTTCAAAATTTCCTCATTGCGTCTCAGTTTGCCAGCACGGGTCACATATAACAATTAGAAGCTGTATTTACACCTATTTGCTGCAGTATTTGTTTAGTGTTGTATATTGGCCAATACATCATGTGTTCGGTAGAGAACAGGATCAACATTTTATATTCCACTCTTTGGTACCTTGACTGCTTGAGACCCACAAAAGGAGGCAATACATTGAGATAAAAATGTGTGAATCCTCAAATGTGGACATTAAATATCTCTCTCTTCCTCTTCTTCTCTTGCTATTGCATAAAGATTCTCCTGAAATGAAATGAAATATGGGGTTTAACATCCTACTGTTCTGCTCCGAACTGTGCTAATGAAGACGGGCATACATCATACAGTGTGCTATGAGAGAAATTTGCCCGGACAGCTGCACTACAGCCTACTCTTATATCGAATTCCAACTGTCATTTTACGTGCACGCCAATGTGTACATGGCACCTCTGTTTTCGTCCCATCCGAACGACTAGACAGCTGTCCTTATCAGGCCCTCCGACCCTGCATCACTGACAAGTGAGGAAACCATGCCGGAAAATCTGGATGAACTTTCTCGGCCAATACAGGGATCGAACACCTGACCTCCAGGCTAGCGAGTCAGCGTCTTACCCACTTGGCCACCGTGACCCCCAAAGATCCTTCTATATTTGATATGAAACGTGTATAATTTCAGTGCTCCAATTCCATGGGTGCCTAATGCTGGAACATCAAAGAATACTGTTGAGTCTAATACAGTTGTAACAACAACAGAAGGGGTTCCAGTACCTGTTCAACCCATTCCTTCAAATAAGCGTGGTTCATATTCAGGGAGTAACTCACAGCGTTTATCTCGACAAGCGATGGCCGCTGATCATACAACTAAAGAAAAACTCCGGAGGTAAATATTTTAAAATTTGTGTTTGGGCAAGGCCAAATTGTCTATGTACTTGTGGTGGATGTCATGCATAAGGGAAGGTATGCTTACTCTTAAATAAAACCCAAAATGAACACTGTACAAATGATCCCAAATGTCATAATTAATTGATGTGTTAGCTATGTGAACACGCCACAACATTCATTACTGTGTGAGCCAATTTGCAAATGGCATCCGTTTATACTAGAGTAACCATCATTAATGTACCAACGTATCTAATTTGTATAATTTCTAATTGCAGAGAAAGAATAAAAGATAGTTGTGATCAGTTACGAGTTTTATTACCTTATATTCGTGGACGTAAAACTGATATGGCATCTATTTTAGAGATGACTGTTGATTATTTAAAACTTATTACCACATCACTTCCAGCAGACTTTCAAAACCAAGTAAGATGAACTTTAGGAAGACTTTCTGATATTTAACAAATGGCATAAGATCAAAACCTCATATAATAACAAATAACAACTTGATGAGCTGGCATTAAAAACCCAAGAAATTGATAGCCAAAGCACACCCAAACATTTGAAAATATTTATATTTTTAATTAGAGGGCATCAACAGTCATTAGTTATCACAACCATTTAAAGATACATTATGGGAGATAAGATAAAGAGATGGCAGTTCTCGCTATAATAGTTAAAAACTAGATAGTGTAAAGGTAATTTGCTGAAAATTTGAGTCAAATTGATCCACTATGAGCCGAGAACGAAGCGGGTGAAATTTTTGCTAGTCTCGGTCATCATTACTAAAATTATTAATATAAACAGCATAGTCTCGATTATCAACTTTTTTTGATTTAATTATCAATGGCCGTTAGCGGCATATAGGAATCTAATCCAGCCAACATTGAAGGCTAGCCTTGACATCGAGAGTTTATTATTGTCTGGATAAGTTAATTAATGTCTAATTGATAATTTAGATAACATTTCAGGCCTAAAGAAAGACTTGTAATAAGCAGATTTTGCTCTTGCATAATGCATGTTTAACTACCATATTTTGATAGTCTATCCCACTCATTTGTTTACAAGAATATTAACTTTGTGACCATATCAAAGCTATTCTGATAATGGTGTGGGACTGTGTGTTATATAAGGTTGGGTTGACAGCAATCTCAATACGTTTACAGCAAGAAATCTACTCGATTAACTGTTTTTGGAGTGTGAGTATTTGGCGTATTGTATCTGGTTTACCACTATAATTTTTGGACCAATATACGTTTTGTCCCCCCCCTTTCGAAGAAAGCAGGGTCCCATTAAAATGCGTCTGTCCGTCTGTCTGTCTGTCTGTCCATCACACATTTTGGGACACAATAACACTCCTTCTAATTAAACTAGAATATTCAAACTAGCTGGGGAGAGGGGGGGGGGGCATTGATATTCCAAGAAGTTGTTTTTATACGCCAAGATTTTCATATGGACGTATATTGTCGTCGCCCCCGTCCGTCCACAATTTGTTTGTGGACACTCTACAGGTCACAATTTTTATTCGATTTTGACGAAACTTAAAATATAGATCTATCTCCCAAAGATCTCTATTCTTTTCGATATTGCCATATATCGGACCATGACTTCATGGATTATGGCCCCTGATTGTACGAAAAATCACGTTTTTAGCTTGAGGGCACTCTAGAGGTTACAATTTTCATCTGATTTTGATGAAACGTGAAAAGCATGTTTATAAGTCCTTTCGATATTTGCACATATCGGATTGTAATTTATGAATTATGGCCCCTGATTGTACGAAAAATCGCGTATATCAGGGTTGTGGAACCTCTAGAGGTCATAATTTTGATCCAATTTTGATGAAACTTGAAATACAAATCTATTACCTAAAGATCTTGGTTCCTTTCCATATTCACACATATCGAATCATAACTTCTTGAATTATGGCCCTTGGTTGTACGTAAAATCGCGTTATTTTGCTTGGTGTCCCTCTAGAGGTCACAATTTTTATCTTGGTTCCTTTTAAAATTCGCACATATAGGATCATAACTTCCTGAATTATTGCCCTTGATTGTATAAAAAAAAATCACGTTTTTAACTTGTGGTCACTCTAGAGGTAACAATTTTTATCCGTTTTAAAAAACTGTTTGAATATATCACTTTTACACCCTAATAATGGCTGAGTTCGAATCTCGTGAAAATCAGACCAAAATTGCCGCCCCTCGTAATCAAATAACATAAATATATGGTATACCAAGGTTGTGGACCCTCTAGAGGCCACAATTTTGATCCAATTTTGATGAAACTTGAAATACAAATTTATTACCTAAAGATCTTGGTTCCTTTTAATATTCACACATATAGAATCATAACTTCTTGAATTATGGCCCTTGGTTGTACGTAAAATCGCGTTTCTTAGCTTGGTGTCCCTCTAGAGGTCACATTTTTTATCCGATTTAAAACAAACATTTGAATATATCACTGCTACACCCTAATAATGGTTGAGTTTGAATTTTGTGTAAATCTGACCAAAACTGCCGGACAAAATGGCCACCCCTCGTACACAAATAGTGTATATATCAAGGTTGTGGATGTGAACCCTCTTAGAGGCCACAATTTTGATCCGATTTTGATGAAACTTGAAATACATGTTTATAACCCAAAGATCTTGGTTCCTTTTGATATTCGCGCATTTCGAATCATAACTGCTTGAATTATGGCCCTTGATTGTACGTAAAATCATGTTTTTTTAGCTTGTGGTCCCTCTAGAGGTCACAATTTTTATCCGATTTAAAAAAAGAATTTGAATATATCACCGTTACACCCTGAATTATGGCCTTTGATTGTACGAAAAATCCCATATTATGGCTTGTGCCAACACTTTTCACATAAATCTTTGATAAACCTGAACCCTAGCCTGATTTCTGTCCCAAGGATGGTAGAGAGCTCCTACAGTTTATTCTTTTTTTTTTTTTAAATTATTTATACTTACATATTTTTAGATAATTTTGTTGATGGGTAAAGCTACACCATGTGAGGAAGTGAGAAACAAATCTGATACAAACCGTACCCAAACAACCAGAAAAAACACAAGACGTAGCATGGCAACTCCCCCATCTCCAACTCTGGGTAAAGTTTCCTCAACAAGTGAATTAAGGTAAATAGAAAAATAAAATGTATATTGAACTAAATTATACATATCTTATTTGTATTTCAATGTGGGTTTATTGTCCCCCAAGCCTTTCGAAGAATAGGGTACTAGTAAAGTGGATCTATCCATCTGTCTGTCTGTTTTCAATATGGGTTTATTGTCCCCCAAGCCTTTCGAAGAAAGTAGGGTAAGGATCTGTCTGTCTGTCTGTCTGTCCGTCACACTTTTTGGGACACAATAACTCTCATTCTAATGGAGCTAGAATGTTCAAACTTGGTGTAGGTGTTTATTAGGTCAATGCCTTGATGGAGCTTGAAGATGAGCATTTTCTGCTTAGGCTAAGCAGAGATAAGCAATTTGATTGGTTGATGGTTTGGGACACGATAACTTTGGTTCTAATTAAGTGACAGTGATGAAACTTGGTGTATAGTTTCATTATATCAATACCTTGACTAAGTTCCATAATGGAGGGGTTGGATCATAAAGCCTGTCATTGAGTCAACTGGGTGGTTTCAAATCCCCGGTTCGTATGTGACAAGGAGTAGGGTCACCTGCCCAACCTCGTGGGTTTTCTCTGGGTCCTTCGGTTTCCTCCCACTGCTAAAGACCCCTACGCATAAGCGAGCTATTGAAATAAAAAATTAAAACCATATATTAGTCCCGAAATGACCTAGTTTGTGTCGAGTGGACGTTAAACCCCATTTCTCTCTCTCTCTAAGTTCCATAATGAGCATTTTCTGCTCAAGGTAAGCAGAGCGATAAGCAATTTGATTGGTCAAGACTTTGGAGCTTGATAACTTTTATTCTAATTGAGTGAGAGTGGTTTCATTACATCAATACCTTGACTATGTTTGTGATGAGCCTTTTCAGCTTAGGCTAAGTAGAGACTTCAATCTGATTGGTCGAGACTTTAGAACACAACAACTCTCCTCTTAGCTGATGAAGAATGTTCAATTTTGGTGTAGGTATTTATTGGGTGAATGCCTTGATAGTGTTTGATCATGCATATTTTCCACTAAAGCTAAGCAGAGATAAGCAATGTGATTGGTTGAGAATTTGGAACACAATGACTTTGGTTCTCATTGGGTGAGAGTGATGAAACGTAAAGTATAGATTCATTATATCATTACCTTGACTAAGTTTGATGATGAAAATGTTCTGCTTAGACTAAGTAAGAATAAGCAATTTGATTGGTTAAGACTTTGGAACATAACAACTCTGCTTTTAATTGAGGTAGAATGTTTAAACTGGGTTTAGATGGTCATTAGGTGAATGTCTTGATTAACATCGATGCTTTGTTACAAGATAACTTTCATTCTAACTTTTGGAGCTGACGTGCCATAAAACCCTATTTCATTCATTCATTCATTCTAACTGATGGATAGTAACGAAACTTAGTATATAGTTCACTACAAGGTACTTCAAACCTTAACGGAGTTTGATCGTAAATATTTTCTGCTTAGACTAAGTATAGATAATCAGTTTGATTGCTGGTTACTTTTGAAAAAGATAAATGTGCAATTAATTAATATGTGTCGTCTATTTATTTTGGGATTGCGTGGGGAAGACATCAGCATGACTGTAGGCTTGTTTGTATCGGTCACAAAAGCAGATAGTTTGAATAAAATTCTTAATGATAGTTGTTACTTTTAAGTGGTTTAAATCTGGTTCCCACCCCTGATCTTATAAAATATCATAGCCTTTACTGGCATAAAAAAACATCATAGAAGATGAAGTTTAGTTGTTGTACTTGTAATATTCTGTCCCGCAGTGCCCTAGAAAATACAGATTCAAAAATATCTATGTAAATTGTAATGATACAGTGGACTCTGTCACATCCGACATTGTACGGGATCGTTACAATATTTCGGATCACACAGCATTTCGGAATACCGAGCTTTCTCCAAAACCGGAAATACTGTAACTTCGAAAACCGGAAGTATATATTGTAGCTTCAAATCACCAGAATGCTATTCCCTTTAAAAATGATAAACCTTTCTGTACTTTCAAAATTTTATAACATTAAATGATAAACAAACCACTCATGTGTCATTTTGTTGACGTCTTCAAATTTTGAGTTGATGTAAAATCGTTTCTTACTGCAGTTTAAATTATCGGCAAACTTCTGTTTAAATTCATCTTTACGCTTTAATATGTCTGACACTGTAGCTCGGCCAATTGAATACTTAACGGCTAATTCCTTCTGCGCAGGTCGTGGAACTTTCTCGAAATCTGCTATAAGTTGCCGCTTTACATCTAATGTCAAATCTGTTCGGGAACGCTTTGCAGGACGTTCAGACATTTTGAATATAATAATGTATAATGATTCTTCAATCGCGGCAATTTTTATATAATGTCACGGTATTTGACATGAGTAACTAAAATCAAATACCAAGCGCACTCTTACAAGAGATTATAAATTGTAAAATAATCAACAAAGAATTTATAACATTATCAAAGTAATCAACAAAGACCGGCGCTTGCGAGTTTTAATCTCACCGATAATTGATTGGTGATTGCTTGTTAATCTTTTCTGGCTTCACACCTATTGAGTTTTAATCTCACCGATAATTGGATGCTTCACACCCAACGTTTGAAGTACGGATTATACGGTGTCGATTCAATGGAAATTATGTGACGAGACGGCTGATTAATGTCGGAATCTGGAACATACAGAATCCGGATTTACCAGCGATTTTTTGGCTGAAGTAATAAGGAAATAAATCGGGACATGAAAATCATGTCGAATGTCACAGCAATCCGGAGTGATCAGACATCGGATGTGACAGAGTCCACTTTAATTTTTATACGTCCACATTCATAATGTGAACGTATTATGCCGTCGCCCCTGTCTGTGTGTGTGTGTGTGTGTGTGTATGTATGTATGTGTGTGTGTGTGTCTGTGGTTCGCCTACAGGGCGCAATTCTTCATGGATTTTCTTCAAACTTGGTATACTTATTCCTTATACCCCAAGGAAGATCCCTATTGTTTTTGGTGCATGCCCGACCCCCCGGGGCAGAGCCACGCCCATTTCTAGTATTTGTTTGTTTGTCGTCTACAGGCCACATTTCTTAACTAATAATCTTGAAACTTTGCATACACATTCTTTGTACCCTAAGGAACATCCCTATCGTTTGGGGTGCATGCCCAACCCCCAGGGGCAGAGCCACGCCCATTTTCTTTTCGTGTGTCTTTGTGTCGCCTACAGGGCGCAATTCTTACTGGATTTTCTTCAAACTTGGTATACTTATTCCTTATACCCCAAGGAAGATCCCTATTGTTTTTGGTGCATGCCCGACCCCCAGGGGCAGAGCCACGCCCATTTCTAGTATTTGTTTGTTTGTCGTCTACAGGCCACATTTCTTAACTTATAATCTTGCATACACATTCTTTGTACCCTAAGGAACATCCCTATCGTTTGGGGTACATGCCCAACCCCCAGGGGCAGAGCCACGCCCATTTCCCATTTTCTTTTCGTGTGTCTTTGTGTCGCCTACAGGGCGCAATTCTTACTGGATTTTCTTCAAACTTGGTATACTTATTCCTTATACCCCAAGGAAGATCCCTATTGTTTTTGGTGCATGCCCGACCCCCAGGGGCAGAGCCACGCCCATTCCTTATATTTATTTATTTGTTTGTCATCTACAGACCGCATTTCTTAACGTATCAACTTTACATATTTATTCCTTATACCCTAAGGATGATCCCTATTGTTTTTAGTGCATGCTCGCCTCCCCGGGGCAGAGCCACGCCCATTTTTGTATTTGTTTGTTTGTCGTCTACAGGCCGCATTTCTTAACGTATCATCTTGAAACTTTGCATACTTATTCTTTGTACCCTCAGGAACATCCCTATCGTTTTGGGTGCATGCCCACCCCCCAGGGGCAAAGCCACGCCCATTTTCTTTTTCTATGTGTGTGTGTCGCCTACAGACCACAATTCTTAATCAATTGTCTTGAAATTTTTTCATATGAATTGCTTATACCCTAACGATGACCCCTATTGTTTTTTTACCCCCAGGGGCAGAGCCACGCCCATTTTCTTTTCTTTTTATGTCTGTGTGTCACCTACAGGCCACAATTCTTAATCAATCGTCTTGAAAATTTTTCATATGAATTGCTTATACCCTAAGTATGATCCCTATTGTTTTTGGTGCATGCCCGACCACCAGGGGTAGAGCCACGCCCATCCCTTATATTTATTTATTTGTTTGTCATCTACAGATCGCATTTCTTATCGTATCACCTTGAAACTTAGCATACATATTCCTTCTATCCTAAGGAACATCCCTATTAGTTGTGGTGAATACCCAACCCCCAGGGGCAGAGCTACGCCCATTTTCTTTTTTTATGTCTGTGTGTCACTTGCAGACCGCATTTCTTAATCGATCATCTTGAAATTTTTTTTAGACTTATTCCTTATAGCCTAAGGCTACGTTTTTACACTTATTCCTTAATCCTAAGGCTGGCCTCTATTATTATTTTTGGTGCATGCTCAACCCCTTGGGACAGAGTCACGCCTAATGTTTGTGTGTCTTGTGTTTTGCCTACAGGCCGCAATTCTTAACCGATCCTTTTGAAATGGGGATACCTATTCTAAACGTCATGCTTTTAGAATAAAGACATCGATTGTTTTAAAATAAAAATTGTGTTCTGTTAATGTGAACGAAACGTTAAACTGATAGCAGTCCTACAACCCAGTTTTATTTCACAGACCCTCAATGCAAACTGGACCATATCAAACAAAACAGGAATGTGGACGTATATTGCTGCGTTAGCGATGCTCTTGTTTAGTATTGATAACAGTATCTATATATATTTCAGTAATGATAACAGTATCTATGTAATGATATATATTTCAGTAGTGACAACAGTGCAGTATCTCTGTAATGATGTATATTTGTCCCCCACCTTTCGAAGAAAGCAGGGGACTATTAAAATGGGTTTGTCTGTCTGTCTGTCTGTCTGTCTGTCTGTCCGTCAGTCTGTCTGTATGTCACACTTTT